AACACTATAATGACTATAACTAAGAATTACAAAAGTCATAATTAATAATTGATTATTAGTTAAAACTTATAAATACATATGACATTCCACACCCATGCAAGATATTTTGTAGAAATTTTGATAGAACTTTTAGAATCTCTAGTATTATTGCATTTAAAATGTAATTAATAATTGATTATTTGATTCATATGGTAATAATTATAATATCTCTTCAATTTGGAAAGTAAATTTTTTTTTGAGTTGTTATTAATTTTTTTTTCTTTAAGATAACAATTAATATATTAGTAGTTCGATTACAACGTATATCAGCATCTCTTCATAGATTTGAACATAAAATCTTACTTAGTTTAGCACCTACGTATCGTTTTCATGATCACCTTAGAAACTGTCTAGACTTCAATCATTATTAATTTCAAAACACATTTATATTTAATGATTTATTATCAATATGGTAATGTTTGTATACACATGGATATATCACATCATGATATTTTTGAATTCTTTATACTAAAAAATAACTTTTAAAAAAAAAAAAAGCTCTTATTATGAAAAATATTATGCGTAACATGGACAATTTATTCAATTTTTTTGTTTTTTTAAAATTTAAAAATACACATGTCATTTGTCATGAAAAATATTAGGGTAAACTACCAATAGGTCTTAATAGTTGGACTTAATTTCCATCAAGTCCTATTGAAAATAAGTCTTAATAAAATTGTCGTTAAAAATAATTTTTTTGCGATAATTTTTTATATATGTCGCTAAAAATTGACAATTAGTGACTTTTTTTGTCATAATTTTTATAAATTGTCGTTAAAACTTACAATTAATGACTTTTTTTATGTCAATTTTTTCCTATAGAACCTATTAGGTAATAAGTTCACTTATTAGGATCTACATATAAGTACCTCAAAATATTAGGCATAGTACAAATTCATTTTATTGTAATGTTATTTCTACTAGGCCTTGTTTGGGAAATTCACTATTTTAGTTGATTTTTTGACTATTTAAACATGATTAAAAAAGTTATATTTGAAAAAATAGTTGTAACGCCCTGACAAAAAAACCTTCCTGATCCCTTTCTCATCCGGGCATTACCAGTATAAGATAGACAACACAACAAAACCAAATAGAAATGATATAACATTCACAACATTGCTTCCCTTTTGAACTATTTCCAAACTTTACAAGATTGTTTCATTATATTTACAACCAAAAATAAAATAGTTCAACCAGTAAGGAAGGATTCAACAAAAATTTCACCCTTGTCACATCAAAATATATGATTACACATAGGCACCCAAAAGCTATCCCTGACACACACAATATGATTCAACACAAGCTTTCACAATCCAAAAGTTTTCTTCAACCCGAAACGTTCATTTAGGGAGCACTTCATCTTCATTTTTTGAAATTTGGTTAGTTTTGGGTTGAGAAAAAGCTCAATAGGTAATTTTTATTATGTATATGTATAAATGCCCTTATCCATGAGTGTGCAAAATATAAGTTAAGTAATCATTTTCTGAACTTAGATAGGCAGTAAACATAGTATGACCTTCCAAGTAAGAGCCGAAATTCAAAATACATACATAGATATAGATTTTGTATACTTAAAAATAGCCCCATATTTGCCGACTCCAGAAACGGCTGGCGATGGGCACCCAACAACATTTTTCCCTTCGACATTTGTTGACTCCAGAAAAGACGGGGTTGAGAACACCCAAAACCATGTTTTTCCACATTCGCCGACTCCTAAAACGACGAGCTCGTGGACACCCAAAAACATTTCCCCACATTCGTCCGATGATATGCTCAGACAGGGCAATTGGGCACCTTGACTCTCCGTGCAGATACCAAATATAATACAAAACTCAAGATCACCCACCTTACTACTTGGACTCATAGACTATTTACCCCCCTTTATAGCTTTCCACTGATTGCATCATCCATTGAATCACAAAAGAGTTTAGTAATGCATATGATGCATGAATTTGTAAATACTCCTTTTTCCCTAAAATGATTTCCAATGTAAACAATTCACTGTTTCACCTTTCAATAATAACCATGGTTCACTCAACAATTATCACCAACACAAGATGTACGTAGAAAAAGCATTTCAAATCATGCATCCTACCTCAAACTTAAGCAATTACCCTCAATTTCATGTTTTAAGAATCAATTGAACAAAACTCTTCTTTTTAAAACAAGTTTCAAAACAACGGTTTATAAAAAAAAAATTAAGGGTTTCCTCTCTTTCATGAATTAAAGGCTAAATTTCTTCACCAATAATAATAATCATAAAAAATAAACTACTCCATCCTTAATCATGAATTATTACTCATATCCTTCCAAATCATTTGATAGTATACACAATCTATACATATACATATACATATACACATACAGATAGATATATATATATATATATATATCTGCAAAATGAATAGCTAATGAAATTACCACATATGAGTTCCAATTAAAGGTATAACAAGTTAAGGACACCCCTATCTCAAAAATAGAAGCTAAAGTGGAGAATGCAAGCAAAACCTCAACCAAATTGCGAAACAAACGGTGAATAGCTTGAACTAGACTTGCTGTTCAATTATTTTGAAGTATCTTGGATGAATCTAAAGCAAAATGATGAGAAATCAAGTAGTTTAGGGGCTAGGGTTTCAGAATGGTAAAAGAGAGAAAGAGCAATTGCAAAAACTGAGGAAGGAATGAGTTAGATCAACTTTTAAGTGAATTGTCCCGAACAGACCACTAGAGCGAACTTTCCATCGCTCAAGTGAACAACACAAATTCGAGGGGATCGCTTGAGCGACCTTTTTACTGATTAAGTGAAAAACAAGAGGTTCCAGAAGTTTTGTAGAGTTATAATGAAAATATTGAGAGCATGAATTTTACGCTCAAGCGACCACTTCACCGCTCAAGCGATCACACCTACGAAATAGCAAACTACTAAGAGCTACAAATCTTTGCTCGAGCGACCAAATGACCGCTCGAGCGGTCCTCAAAACTCAACTGTCACAATAGTTAGTTCTTTTTGTAGTTGGTTTGATGGTTGTGAGAAAACAAGTGAAATTATTATGGATTGGATGTGATATTTTGGGGTTCCTGCTTTGCCATAAGGCACAACAGGTTGCTGTGAGGCCCATTAAGTGGGTGTCCCAAGTCTTTTTCGATGATCCAAACCGTTCATATTGTAAGGTTGATCGAGTAGATCATTCATACAAAAAATCAAATAATTTGGACATTTGTAGCCTTATAATAATAGCACATTTGTTTTTTAAAAAATAAACGTTTACCATGACTTTAATAATTTTTTAAAAACAATTATGACTTAATCGTGGGGTTACGGATGCTTGATTAATTTGATTTTTTATATGGATGGTATACTTAACAAACCTTACAATATAACGGTTCAAATCATCAAAATACACTCGGTAAATACCTCCACAGGTCCTCACAGCAGGGCTGTTGTGCCATAAAGCACAGCAGCAACCCTCAACCCTCCCAAATAGGGCCTAAGGATTATCATGATATTATTGAATCTTTATGTAACTCCATCCAACCTAAATTAAAATTTGAAAATTTTCTTTTAAGATCTCTGATATTAAGATTTTATAAGATAAATGATACAAAATATTTTCATAGTAGTTGGGGACCCTCAACATTTTCACAGAGAAAATCGACTTAGAGAAATTTCGGTCCGACTTAGAGGAATTTTAATTTTCACAGAGAAATTTATCTGATTTCATAGAAAAAATTTGAAATTTCTTTGATATGATCACAAAGAAATTTCATCAAGAGATCTTAACTAATAAAAAAAAAATCTTGGATCTCTCCTACTACACAAAGTTGGAGAGGAATGTTTCACTAATTTTCTTTTAAAATTTTGAGGCTAATATTTAAAATAATAATAATAATAATAATAAAATTAAAGATAATGTATTTGTTGTCAACTATTTTAGAAGTAATTATGCAAAACAAATATAACATAGGATTTAATTTTGTAAAATAAGGAAAGTGAATTGAGTTAAAATTAAATATTTCATCCAGTATAGATTTTTTATTTTATTTAATTTTTCATCAAGTAGAGATTATTTTCATTAAAAAATTTAATTTTCTCATACACTTGATACTTTTAGTTAAGGATAATTTTTTTTTTTGATATGATGTGTTAATACAGCACGAATCGAATACAGACCAAAAATGACATGACACAATGATATGATATAACAAATGGGTGGAATGTGTTAGTGTTGAGTTAATTTTGACACAAACTCGAAATGACATGACACAATTATGACCCGACACAACAGAATGCCCACCTTAGTTACAACTTATTTAGTTGACAATAAATAATAAAAAAATCCATCCATGTTTGGCAAATGCCAAAAAATCACATTTCATGAAATTTCATTTTTAGGGAATCTTTTAAAAATTTGTATTAGAAGTTTTTTTTATATAATTATTTTCAAGTGCTTCTAATCTAGAAAGAATTACATATTTGAAAAAAAAAATATACATAAATCAAAGAAAAACTAAAATAAACGAAGAAAAAATTAACACCTATTTGTGAAAATTTAACTTGACTTGAAAACATGTATATAAATTCATATTGAAAACATGTTGTTCATAACTTCTATTGTTAGCATGAATTATTTTACCATTTTTTTTCTTCTCCTCGACTTGGATCTAAATTTGTTATTTCAGGGGATTGGAATTATAGAGTTGTGAATTCAATTTCTTCAAATTTATTTATTTATTTATTTATTTTGTTTTGCATGTAATCTATTATCTTTCTACTCACATACATGCATATAACTAACTATATATTCTAGCAGCCAATCATGAGTGTCAAATTTGAAACATAGAAGTAGGAAATGAAAAGGGGTATCATGGTTCACAATCAAAATAAAAACAAACAGCTTTAATGGAAAGGAAAACATGGTAGTACCTTTACTTCAAATAGGCTCCACTTAGTTCTGAACATGTCATCTTGTTCCATGTCGATACCTAACCTCATTTGATCTGTTCTTCTGATGACCCATTTTCACTCTGAAAATTCTCTCAAGCCATTTTTCTTTCCTTCGAATGATGCAACTTCCTATCACCAAACCAATTACTACTCCACAACCATATCCCATTAACACCGGTTCCCATTCAAAACCATCAAGTTTGTATTTAAAATCGTGGCTTGAAGAGGATGATGATGGCGATTCTGCTCCTATGAGAATCCAACATTTCTTTGACAATGGCAAACCACACAATCCAATATTTCCCTCATACGAAGTGTTTGAAAATGTTTCAAATTGTTGACCTCGTGGTATAATCCCAGTTAGATTATTTTGTGAGACATCAAAAACTTCAAGGAATGTCAAACTCGTTAGTTGTTGAGGTATCTCACCAGAGAGCTTGTTTTGGGATAGATCTAAGGACTCGAGCTCAGTTAGATCCCCCAAGGACACTGGAATGAGACCTGTGAGACCATTACTTGAAAAATTTAGGACACAAAGGGCTTTAAGTCTTCCAATGGCTATTGGAATATTCCCACCAAACTTGTTGTGCGAAAAATCAATAGCTTTGAAGATGGTGATGATCCTTACAAATACCATTTCCAGTCCTTTATTCATTATGGTCACTGAATAATAACCAAAACCAGTGCGCATATAATTTAAGGAGGATTTGTTTTCATCATCCATCATCATTGAATGCATGCTCTCAAAGAATTTTGATGGCAAAGTACCTGTAAATTCATTGTGAGACATGTCAATGATATGTAAATTGGTGAAGGCTAATCTCTTCCTTGGTTGTCCTACGGGACCATAGAATTTATTATCTCGCAAGACAATAATCTTCAATTGGGGCAGGTTCTCCAACCAAAATGGAAAAGTATCTTCTATGAAATTATGACCCAAATTCAAAATTTCTAGGTTTGTGCAATTCGCCAATGATCTTGGAAGCTCCCCTTGCAATCCATTGTGGCTAATGTCAAGTTCCTGTAACATGTTTGCGTATCCAAATGTTTGAGGGATGCTACCATGGAAATTGTTTCTTTGCAAATTTAACGAGGTTAAATTTCCATTGAAGTTCCCCAAACAGGTAGGAATTAATCCAGAAAATTCGTTATTGGACAGATCGAGATATTTAAGAGAATGAAGATTACAGAGTGGATTGAGTTCTTCATTTAGGTGGTTGTTTGAAAGGTCTAGCATCACCAAAAATTCCTTTCGAGTTTTCAAAAATTCAGGAATTTTTCTTATATTGCAAGACGGCAATAGTAATGTCTCAATATATGGGAAAGAAGAGGGAGTGGAGTTGGTGGTGGTCAATGATAGACCACTGTTTGAAAGATCCAAATAATACAAATTAAAAAGCTTTGCAAACGTGTCCAGCTCAACGGTGTCGCTTAAATTATTTGACGAAAGAGCAAGAGAGTCAAGGTCCACAAGATAAAACAAGGAAGAGGGAATGGGACCTGTTAGTTGATTGTTTGAGAAATATATCATTTGAAGTAGCGAGAAGTTAGAAAAAGGTGGAATTGGGCCTTCAAAATTGTTGTCTGTAAGAGTAAGCCAAATTAATTGCGTGAGGTTTGTAAGCGATCTCGGAATCGTGCCAGAGAAATTGCACTCATCGAGGTATAGCTCCTGCAAGTTCTCAAGTTGGCCGATGGAATTAGGTAGCTCTCCGGTGAAACCTGTTGTTTCGAGAGCCAACACCGTAAGGTGCCGGCGAGTTTCATTAATAAAACTTGGAAGTTTACCCGTGAGTTCTCTGTTACCGCTTAACCACAGCTCCTGCAATTTCTGTAAGTGGAAAATGCTACTGGAGAAGTTATTCCCTTGCCAGACTTCTTCTGATGATTGTATTGGGCCAGAAAGATAGGAGTAAGAGAGGTCAAGACGGATCAAATTTGTGAAACGGCCAAAGGAAGGTAAAATTTGAGAGTGATTGAAGTTGTTTACAGAAAGGTCGAGGTATTGAAGGTGAACAAGATTGAAGAGGCTGCTGTTTGGATGGATGGTACCATATAGGCACTTACAATTGAGGTCGAGGCCAATGACATGAGCAGTGGTGTTATCACATGTGACCCCATCCCATGCACAACAATCTGTACCCTCTTTCCAATTATCAGTGAATGAAGCAGAAACATCACTGGAGCATTGTACAGGACTATCTCTGTGGCAATCGAAGGAAAAGAGTTGCTTAAATTGGAGCAAAGCAGTGCTCTCGTCATTATGGCAAAGATGTGCAGAAGAAGACAAGCACAAAATTAGGGAATACAAGATACATATTGTGAGTTGATAATTGGATAGTAAGAAACCCATTCTTACACCAGTATTGGGTGGCAGAGAAGGAATTGGATATGATTCTTCTTCTATATGCACTCTCCTTTTTATAACTTAATAATAATTCAATAATAAAAAAATATAAATTGAAAATTGTCATTGTATAGTCTCACATATTATCATTGTATTAGTTTAATGGATTCCATCACTCGGTCAATTTTATTACTAATATAAAGATAATATATAAGATGATAAATTACTGTTAGTAAATAAATGTAATTAGTATTCAGCATAGCATTCAGTTTTATTGCTAATAATATAATGCTAACATTTGAGGTGATATATAATTTTTAGTAAATAAATGTAATCATCATTGTATTATGAATAAAATTGTGTTTGAATCATGAATTGGTAAAAAAAATTTGAAAAAAGAAAGGCAAATATAAGAGAAATATAATAAAATATAAACTAGATTTTTTATCCATTTTCGTTTTCATTTTCAAATCACTATTTAAATTCATAATCAAACATGATTTAAAAAGATTTTTTTTATAAATGATTTGGCCATTTTCCAAACAGTGCCTGAATAAAGGACCACAAATACTGTTCTTATTTGGTGCCTTGTGTCAATAGCATGCTTGACTGAATAAAAAAATTGGTGTTGAGTCTTGGGTACTATGGGCTTCGGATCTCTTGTACCTATTTTTCTGTACTCATCTTTTTATCTCATTCATCTCAGGCTGCTACGTTGTCAATCTTCAAATCATAAATGGAACAGAAGATGGATAGAGGAAATGAGTATGGATGATTCGAAACCAGTACTTTGGACGTAGAATTATTAGATTGCCCCATTTATATCCTCACATTTTTTTTTCTTTTTTTAATTTTATCAGCATACTAACATTAGAGAGTGAAATGACTAACTCAAGCCCTGTTTGATTAACATATATAATGTCTTGTTTGTTTTTAACAATGAAAGAAAGGATTAGATTAGTCGTAAGAAAAGGTTTATAAAATTATTTTTATTTTGAAAAATTGTGAAATGAAGAAATAATCTAATGCATAAAAAAATAATTAATAGTTTAATATACTATTAAGGGTTTTAGATATTTCAAGTCCTAGTAAATCATTCTTACTCATCATGAGTGATTCCTCATTTTCCATTTATTGTTTTCATAGGATTTTTTGATTTTCTAAAATTAATAGATTTAATATTACATATTAACACATTCGTAAAATGATATTTTGGATCATATTTCTTAATGGATCAAGCCTTCTTCAAACAAAAAATAATAAACTATATAAGCTTTAACTATATTATTGAAAACAAAAATGATTCAAAAACTTAACTTTTATAAATAAAACTAAAAAATGATATAATATGATATTTTTGCAATTATAAATTACCATTAGGTGTTTTTGCTTGAAACAAAAGGACTACAAAATGACATCATTTCATATAAATTCTATCTACAAAAATGATATAAATATATATATATATATATATATATATATAACATTATTCTATATGAAAACCTTTCAAAATACTGTACATCATTATTGAAGAAAGCGATGGATAGACGAGCAACGAGAGAATTGAAGAAGGAAGTTTCTTATAAATTGTTTCATTGGTGCAAACCCTCCCTTCTCAATCAATATAATAAATAAATTAATGAGATTGGGTTCTCTCAAGTTAGCCATTCAACTTGAGAGAGTAATTGAGCTTAGTAAGCTTGTTTTGGAGTCAACCTCAATAATTTAAATTGTTCATTTTTTTATGACCTGTTGAGTAGAATATTAATACAAAAAATCAAGATCATTAGATATCAGTAACTATATGTTTCAATCACATTTGTTTTTTAACAAAAATGGACGATAAATATATATTCAAGAATAACATCTATTTTTTGTAATATAAATGTTATTCAAAGATATAACTATTGATCTGCGATCACCTTAATATTTTATATGAATTTTATGTTCAACGAATCTCAAAAAGTGAGTGATTTGAATTATCAAGATCGATCCCAAAATAGACCCCCCAAACCCAAATCAAGAATACTAAGTATCATGAAAGAAGTATCATGAAAAGTCTTCATGAAGAATCTCCACCCTTGGATTAGTTTATAGTGTTTGTAATGTTTTATTGTATGTTATACAATCACCATTGGATTTGTTTCATGAAACTTTTTATGATATTCTTTTCATGATGTGTAGCATTACTCAACCCAAATTGTTATATCAAGTTAGATGACTAACCTACGAAAATTCAAACCAACCGTAAATTAATAATTGAAAAGAAATCCAAAGAAAAATTGAAAGCTCTTGTCACTGTATTAATCTTATAATTTTCAACTAGCACTTGGTCCTTTGAAATTTCTTCACATATTTGGTCCTCGAATATTGGTTGTATTGATCTAGCTTTCACTCCAAAAATTAGTGGAAATATATTGGAATTTAATTGGAAGCTTCACAAATTAGAATTTTTGTCATAAATTTTTAAGTACTAGAAAATATAGCTTGAAGTCTTTTCTCAATGTCACTAGCTTGATTTTATTAATAAATTTTATAATATTGTCTATAAACTTTAAATAAATCTTTAATAATCCTGATTGGATAACCATAAAATTATGTTTTGGACAAATTACACCGGTAGTTTTTATATTTTGTCAATTGTGTCATTTTGGTCCATATACTTTTAATTGGTTCAATTTTAGATTTTATATCAATTTGGTCAAATTAATAATACCGTTAATGCTTTTGACAAAATATTATCACCGAATTAATTGAAGTCAACTCACTGAGTTGAGTAAACTTAAAATTTTTCCCTTTAAATCATGACACATGCCACTTATGTGTTTATTTTTTATTAAAAAATGCTAACAATCGTATCAATTGGACTAAATTGAGACAAAATCATAAATTCATGGTCAAAATCTAATCAAGTGAAATTACAGAGCCTAAAATGACACAAGGATCAAAATAAAGGAATATCAATATAATATGCCTTTATATTTTTGTTATAAGTTTGATTTTTCAATAAAATTAATTTAAAAGTTTAATAAAATGTTTACGTAAGTCTTTAGTAATCCTCTTATTACACTTTTATTAAACTGGAGTATAAGCTTTGAATGGTTATAAATTGACGAGGTTTGGTAAATATTTTATTTTTGTTGTTATTATTGTTGTTGTTGTTGTTTTTTTTTTTTTTTGGCTGAAGATGCTTTGGGTAAATTTCTTTTTTGCCTATTTGGTGCAGTTGCTTATAATTTTTATAGGCATATATTTAAGCTGTTTATTTCAACTTTTAATTTAATTTAAGTTAAAATATTGTGTTTGGTACAGCTTAAGTTAACCAGTTTATAGCTTAAATCAAGTTATTTCTCAACTTATCTCAAAAGCTGGTCAGGAGGTGCTTAAATTTTTGACTTAAGCACGCAGTTGGTGTGGGAGGCTAAAATTACTTAAATGCCCTCGTTAATACCCAAATATTAATATTAATTAAAAAATAAAAAAATCAATATTAATTAAAAAATAAATATTAATTGGTATTAATTATTAATAAATTCATATTGTATACTTTTGTAATGAATTAATTATTAATTGATACTAATTAATAACAATTGTTGATTATTAATATTAATTGATACTAATTAATAATTTTAGTATTAATTGATACTAATTAAGTAATTAATTGATACTAATTAATTTATAATGGAAAAAAATTGCAACAATAATACTTCCATTACATTTTTTATCAAATGTATCAATTTTTATATTAATTAATACTAATTATATTAACTTTTATTAATGAAATAATTTTTTTAAAATTAAAATTGAAAAAAATGACAAAATAATTATTTTTATATCATATAAGGGCAGAAACGAGAATTATATAGTAAAAAGCTATTTTACAGCTTATTAACCAAACACTATTCTGCTGCTTAAATCCATAATCCCACAGCTGCACCAAACAGGTTAACAGCTTATGTTCACAGCTATAAGTCATAATCTATTAAATTATAATCTATAATTATTTTTCCACAGCTCTACCAAACGGGGCCATTATTGGTACAACTTCTGCTTATATTTGGTTCAATTTTTCCTTTTTTTTTTATTAGGTAAAAACAGCTTAAATAAGTTGAAAAAAAATAGATTTCTAAAAATTAGGTGATAGGATTCTTTTGACTTCTATTTTTAAATTATCAACTTTTAATTTATAATAAGTTGTATCAAACAACATTGTTATTATTATTAATAATATATTTTTTTTGATTGGGCCAAATAAGAATGTTTTGTGACCCTAAAAAGTCTTTTATGTGGAAAAAAATGGATCGTTGAAAAGTCTTTAGAGTGATTTTTGTAAACGAAATTAAATTACGTGGAAAAAGAAATGCATGGCTTTTAGAGTCATAGAAATTTTGAAATTTAATTGAAAGCATAAAAAATTAGAATTTTGTGACATGTGTCTTTCAGCATTTAAAAAATCTACCCCACATGCTTAGATTTGTCACTAATTTTCATAAAAGTTTGCATAGAAAGTCTTCTCAAATGTTGATTAGGAGTTTTAAGAAAATCTTCTTTAATTTTGACTTGAAATTCTCAATGACAATAAAATTATGCATCAGGAATTTTTATATAATTTTTTTTAAAATGTGTAATTTAAATTCAATTTTTATATTGTAGGGGGTGAATTGAAATTACAAATTACGTTTTTGGTGAAAGTGTAGATGTTTGACATGAAAATATCATGTGTGGTTCATATGTCAATTTTATTAATGTCAGTGGATGGAAGAGTAATATTGAAACTTAACTTAAAGTTTAAGAATTTGCTTGTTACAATTTAGAGCGAAGCAACTAAGTGCAAATGTATTGTGTACGCACCAAAAAATATTACATAAGGTTAGATATCATTTTAGTAACAAAAAAAACACTTTAAATCCACAAGGAAGATACAAAATTTGGGAGGCTTTCAAACTCATCACAAAAGTAATGTTTTTACCCTCAATTTAACTTTTTATTTACTTTTTATTCGTCGAATTATTCCAAAAATTCTTTAATTACTTGTTCTACATCAATAATTAATCCTCTACTAAAACTATTTGATAGGGATATTTTGCTAGTTTTTTATATTTAGGGATATTTTGCTAGCTTTCTTTAATGTTTAATTGAGTATTCAACTCATAGGTTAAGAAGAATACATCAAAGGTTTGTTTGTTCATTCTATACAAAAGAGAAAGTTGTTCTTCGGTGGATTCTGAAGAATTTGAGCCTGAAGCTTTGGTGGATTCTGGAGTGGCTCATCGTCAAGACAATTCCGAGGTGAAAACGGGGCTGGAAGAGGCACATAGGGGTTGGTTCAATTTGGGCGTGGATTCGCTAGGTAATTGAGAGTATACCTGTATAATTCCTTTATATATTCTTAGTGGATTGTTTTGTGGCTGTTGCCCGTGGTTTTTTATCACAATTGGAGGTGCTCCAATTGTGATTTTTTCACGTTAAAATTGTTGTGTCGATTTGTCTTGATTGTTTGATTGAGATTATTATATACTGCTTAAAATTGATACATAATCACAAATCAACATCTAGGAGATTCCGAAATTTTTCAATTTGGTCCACGAATATTGTTTGTAATGATCTAGTCTAGCTTTTATTTCACAAATTATTAGTGTATTATTGTATTCAACTGAATAATCAGTAGGCACTTCTTGTGCATCTCATAAGTTATTAGTTTGATTTTCTTCAATCAAAATTATATAAGTATGAAGATAAAAATCAATATTATTTAAATGGAAAAATAATTTTAAAATAATATTTTTCGTAATTTTAAAGGGGTAATTGAAAAAATATGTACTTCCCCTCAGGTCTCTATCTCCAGAGACACTACAAAAAAAATTATTTTTTGCGACGGCAAAATGCCGTCGCAAATACCCCAAACACCGTCTCAAAAGGTTTTTGCGACGGTAAAATAGTTTTTTGCGACGGCAAGTGGGGGTCGCAACAAGGGGGGTTGCAAAAGAGTTTTAGCGACGGCACTTGCCGTCGCCTTTGTTTTTGCGACGGGAAAATGCATTTTTCGCGACGGCAAATTTCTGTCGCCAATAATGGGTGAAAATCTCAGTTTTTTGCGACGGCACAGCACTGCCGTCGCTAAAATGGTTTTTTGCGACGGTAAAAATACCGTCGCTAAAAGTGTATTTGAGACAGCAACCTGAGCCGTCGCTAAAGGCGTTACATTTCAGCCAAAAAAATTGTTTTTTTGCGACGACAAAACGCCGTCGCTATAGGTATAAGGCCTCTTATAAACGTCACTGATACTTATAGTGACGTTTTCATAAACGCCGGTATACTATTAAATCTGCTTAAATAATTCTGTCCAATATAACTGATGACGTCACACGATATAGTGACGTTTTGAATAAAAACGCCACCCTTTTACTTAATTTCATAATTTAATTAATATAAAATATGCTCTGAACTGATTATTTACATTCCATTCACAAAAACATCATAACAGAAAATAAAAATAAAAATAAAAATTGATAAAACCATCAAATTCAATATTTTACAAAGAACAATTAAACTGTACATGTTCATAAAAGCGTATTTAAATTATAAAATTCACCCCAATCCTAAAAAAAAATAAAATAATAAAATAAAATCTAAAATTCACCAATCAACACACTTGGATATTTAAATGCTCTTACAAAAAATAAAAAATTTCCAACAAGATTTCAATTTTGGGCCTATTTCAAAAATCAAGCTGCAAATTCCTTCTAGAATCAGATCTTCCCCTCGGCAAAATTTATCCTCTTGACCTACAAATAAATAGATAACAGTTGCAAATTATAATCTTTTTGAAGAAAATCTAGAACAAAGTAATAAATACCATCAAAATCATAAAGAGATAAAAGCTAATACACAAATCCCCATGATAATGACAGAGCAAAGATAAGAACTAGGGTTCATAACGTACAAAGTTCATATGCCAGAAAAGAACTGTGTTAGTGACAGACTTTGTAATATTTGAGAAATTTCAAATGTCCTCCAATCATATTCAAATACGTGTATGCTTAAATATCATTTGTATTGCACTATGCAGTGCTTGTTGAAACTTAAATATGAATAACTAGTTTGTAGCTTCAAGCCCTAGAATTTGATTTACTCGTAAGAACACTTAATCTTGCCTCTTCCACCTCCCCTTTTTTTTCTTTTAATAAGTGCCGCTTCCATCATCTATTAGCAGGTGTTCCACACATTCCAACTATTTAAACACCAGTAATGATACATTGAAAAAATGCAGGTGCTCACTCCACCTTGTTCATTTATTACAAGAACCAAGTATGGGATTTAAAAGAAAGCTCAAGTGACGAACAAGTCAAGAACATGTCTATGCTCAAGGATATGTGAGCTGCTTTTGACCTGCCAGTATCTTTTTCTATTTTTTGGAATCTTAACATAGTATGGCTATTTACTACACCACACATTCACAGTTTGACTATTTACATGAAATAAATACACTACTATAAAATACAGAAATGGCCCATCTGTTTTTAAGTATTGTCCATCAGCTTTGAAGCCCATCTGTCATGAGCTGGACATTTGTCCTTCGGTTCTTTTTTCTTCCATGCATTAGACTATGACATGTGTACTCAAAAAAGTTTATCACATGGTTGAACTAAGATAGGCTAAACTTATCTCTCGTGCATGTAAAATGATTATGAGCCAAATCCTAATACGTGTGAGCTTATAAAAGCAAGCGAACTTATAAAAGCTAACGAGAAAATTATTATATGTAAACTGACAAACCTTTCACAAACTGATTCAACAAACCAGGAACCTGAAGATGCTGCTAGTAAACATTAACTTCAACTTCACTCCAGACTTAAGAACAAGGATGAAATAAGGGGGGAAAATAAAAACAAGTGATAATAAAAAAAAATATACAAGTGGCAAGAACAATTTACAGCTAAGCAATAAATATGTCATCATCACGAGATAGAGTAAAAGATGATGCAGACACGCCATACCCGATCTAAGAAATATTTGGCAACATCTGGAAGCAAATGAATTTCTTTCCTTCTCTTGTAGGTTTCCTGGATGGCAGGATCCTTCCAAATCTCATCTACAATAGGAGCATATTCACATGTTGCAGCAGGAAAGAAAGCATCCAAGTCTCCCATAGCCATGATTTCCAGTAACCAATCAGAAAAATGCTTGAACCTTTGGTGGATGGAATAAACACAGAGTTTACTTCCATTGGATCCTGTTTCACCTGAATTCATTTGACAAAAACCATTATATGAGCTCAGCAGCCTACGAAATAATATTTGCATACATATATACATCTAGCCACATATTAACCATGAAAGTTTGAAGTCATCCATATTTCAATCACCAAGTCAAAATCTTTAACTTAAAAGAATGACAAAGGGGCAAACATTATAGATTGGAAAGAACACTAATTAAAAACACTAGTGAAAATTCAAAATCACAAGATTCTCACCAAATTTATCATATCACACATAAGCACATCAAAAATAACAAAACAATGAGTTGTTTCAACACCATTTCAGAGGCATTCCATGCCCAAAGCCAAATACAAAGTATCATATGAAACTCATAATGTCAAAATATTGGGCTAGTCCAAAAGTTATTACCGGTCAACTGATTCCCCATGCCCAAGCTGTCCATTTGTACCTCTTCCCCAAGAAAATACATTTTTTCTTTCAGAAATCAAAAAAAGGCCCCATATAAGAAATCAAAACCAGCAATGTTCTCCATAACACCAAGGAAATAACAAAGAAATTAAATGCAAATTAAAAAATTCAGTAGATACCAAACAGTTTTTCAAATTAAAAAATTCAACTTTTAAAGTTTTCAGTAGTTAATTTTCAGTTTTAGGAAACAATGCCTAAGTAACAAAATTAAAACAATATAGAAAAATAAGCAAGCACGTTGCCATAAATGTACCAAAGAAAACTTGTAACTGGAAAAAAAAATGAATAACAAGATCTAAAAATATCATATGACCATAACACTAAGGAAATAACAAAGAAATTAAATGCCACAACATTGACATACTGATAAAGATCCATATCCATAAAGGCTGCCTGAAGAAAGCATGCCTAAGCCACTCCCAGATTCAGTTCTCTGTTCATAACCCATTGGAGCAACTGGGGGAACCCTAGGCAAAACTGAAGGCATAGAAAAATCAGTACCACTAGAATACATAGAATCGGCACCAGCAGAAGTATTATGACCACCTTCCCTGTCTTTTAAGACGTCATCTCGAAGCCGCAGAACGATTTGAATAAGTGCATCCCTCACCCTACTAACTTCCCCAACCACCTGAATGCAGAACAAAACATGTCAATGGAAAGCAAGGTAAAACTACACAAAAATACGAATTATATTAAAAGCTTATGGAAACAGCATGAAATATACCTCAACAAGTTCATCGGTGGAATCAGCACACTTAGGCTTCTCGCCTTTGGAGATACGGACATCAGCTTTAGTTCTCTTCCGGATCTCATTTATGATTGAACCACTTTTTCCAATTATACAACCAATAACTTTAGATGGAACAAGAAGCCGGATAGTTACAGTGTCATCATCTTCGTCATTTATCTTCCCTTGCAGCAATAAAACCGCTTCAACTGCTATGGATTTCATGTCATCCATGGACTGCCAAAAAAAGTGGTGCAAAAATATCAAGACACATGGAATGAAGAATACCCTCAACAGCAGGTTTCCCAACCCAACAACTCAGAACATGATCCAACATTAAATAAATGGATACAGATAAATGATGGTATTTAGATGCCATTACATACAGTCATCAAAATAAAAATAAATGGGGCACAATAAATGAAGTAAAAAACAATTCTTCAAAAAAATAATGTTGTTTTGCATCAAACACTCTAGAGTTGCAAGAAACACAAGTCGTGCCTCAGCAAGTTAAAGAAGTCATGACACAACCATCAAGTGTTAAATATTTATAAACACATGTTTTATTGTAAAGGTATTTTACAAACCCATGATAGCACGTAGAGATGATCCAAATGTACATATATACGTGTGTGTGTGTGTGCGCGTGTGTAGTAACTTGATCTGGGTTACAATTCCCCAATCAAAGTTAAAAACAGTGAGGAAATCAAGCGGCAGAGCAGTTTCTCCCTGTCCTCCTGCTAACTTTTGGGCACTTGACAAAGAAGTCAGAATATAAATAAAAAGGAAGCAGAAAGAAAGCTATACCTCTGTTGAGGTGATGGAGATGATACATTCATAACGATCAGCCTTATCATCAACCTCAATACGAGCACCACTGGCCTGTCTCACACTTTTTATTGAACCCCCTCCCTTGCCAATAACGCGGCCAATCATGTCAGAGGGGCACAGCACTCTCACAATTAACTCCTCTGATCTTGATGTACCACCATAACCAGAAACTACAGGAAGGGCAGAAGAATAAACAGGCCAAGTGCTCCCTGCATCAGCATACCCTGAAAGTTCCGGAACATGTGTAGCACCTAGGACAGGAGGAACAGATCTGGATGGGACAATAGGATCTACACTTGGATAGAGTCCACCAGCATGATAAATAGGAACGTCTGAAGGGATAATGATGCTTGGAGGGGCTTCAGGCACATTGGTGTCAAGAGGAATCTCTTCCTTTGGACTGAACTTGTACATGATTGCTGAAATTGCAAACAATGCTCTCTTCACTGCATCGGGCTCACCAGTTACCTATTTACATTGCGACAGAAATTTCATAAACCACACAAATTTTACCAATATCAGGCCATTTCCAAAACAAATAAGTCCAAATAATTGGAAAACAATGTAAATAGTGACTGAAAGGCCACATCTGTGTTGCAAACACAATTGTGCACAAGTATTGAGCATGGAATAAAATATATGGCAACATATCGAGATTTTTAAGAGTAGAATTGCAGTCTATTAATGTTTTCTTCTTCTTTTTTTTTTCTTTTTTTTTGGGTAGAACAGAAGTACTTCAGGTAACATCGCAGTGCTTAAGGCGAGGTGGGGAATGGAACCCGACCAGTGAGTATGGGAGTACGGTGACCCATCCACTAGGCCAGGTCAGCTGCTCATGTATAAATGTGATTGAATCACAAAAGATTGCGAAATATGATGGATCGCAAATGGCTTTCCACATAATTCATATGAAATTCACTATATGATAAAAACTGCAATATATCCCACAATATTGCACAATGTACATAGCAGTTATGGCAGAAATTATTTTGTTCTATTCACTTACCTTAAATCCATGCAGCAAAAAATATAAGTACGAACATCAATAACCAATTTCTAAATTCCATTGGGTGAAAAAATCTACTAATATTTATGTTGTTTGAGTGAGGAAGGCATCTATTAAGAAAGCGCATCTAACAACCTACTATCAATTCCATCAGTATGACCAACAGAGTGTTAGTAATGAAAAAGTTGAAAAACATTTAAACAGGTCATCCTTCTCTCTTCTCCAATAGTATGCAAATTATATATCCTTTGTAGTTTGTATTGACATTTATTCATTGGTAATGGCAAAATTTACATCACAGTAAACAATTACCCATACAAAAAAATAAATCCAGGCTACCAAAAAACCAAAATATATATATATATATATGGTTCTTCAGATACTATAACATCTGGCCGCATTACAAGAGATAGCATGTAAAATGATTTTATTTTTAGACATCATCTTTCAAAATTCAGCATTCTACTATCCAAATCCATTAAAGCAACTGAATGCAAATAAATATATACACATACCACATAATTTTCAAGTTAAAAAAATAACTAACCACAACAAAGTTGTCAAACTCCATTCCACATGAATGAGTGGGATCGCTAGCATCCTTTGCAGTAATCTTAATGTTTGTCCTTGTCTTGCTTCTCAGTCTTTTTATAGTGGACCCAGACTTCCCAATAATGTTGGCAGCCTGGCTGGCGGGAACAAGAATGTGACACTCTTCCTTGTCTTTCCACTTCTTGTCCGAATCACCAACTGAAGCCACTGCAAGAGAGATGAGAGAGATAAAGAGAAGAGAGATGAGCGAGAGACAAAGAGAGAGAGAGAAAGAGAAAGAGACAAAGACAAAGACTGACAGACAGAGAAAAGTGATGAGTGAAAGGGAGAAGAGAGGTAATATTTTGTGGTAGAGAAGAGGAACTGACAGTAGTGGTGAAGGTGGTGGATAAAAGATGATGGTGGTGGTGGTGGTGGTGGTGGTGATGACAAAGGAGATTAGTGGTAAAGTTGTGGTAGTAGTAGAGTAAATGGAGTAGCAGGGGTGAAAGAGAGGTAAAGGTAGTAGTAGTAGTGGTAGTGGTGGTAGTGAAGTGGTGGCGATGGTAGTAGTAATGGTAGCCGTAGAGGTGAAATGGCGACCGTGGTAGTAATGGTGGTAGTGAAATGGCGTTTGCAGTAGTGGTGAAGGTGGTAGAGGAGATGAGTGGTGAGAGAGAAAGATGAGTGAGAGGCACACACACGCACATAGAGAGACAGAGAGAAAAAAGATGAGAGAAGAGACAGATGAATGAAAGACACAGAGAGAGAGACAAATAGACAGACAGAGAGATGAGAGTGATGAATGAGAGAGAGAAAGAGTGATGAGTGAGAGAGAGAAAGAAAAGAAAGAAAGAAAGATGAAAAATAGGTGAAAAGATATATAGAGAGAGAGAGAAAGAGTGAAAAGAGATAAACGAGAGAGAGACAGAAAGAGATGAACGAGAGAGAGAGAGAGAGAGAGAAAAGAGACAGAGATAGAAGATAGATGAAAGAGATAGAGAGAAGAGAGATGGACGAGAGATACAGAGAAAAAGAGAGACAGACAGACAGACAGACAGAGAAGAGTGATGAGTAAGAGAGAGAAAGAGAAAAGAGACAAAGACACAGAGAGAAAGAGAGAGACGAATAGACAGAGAAGAGTAATGAGTGAGAGAGAGACAGAGAAGAGAGACAGAGACACATAGAGAAATGGAGAGATAGATAGACAGAGAAGAGTGATGAGTAAGAGAGGAAAAGAGAAGAGAGACAGAGACAGAGAGATAGGAAGATGAAAAAATGGGTGAAAAGAGAAATGTTCAAAAGAGTAAGACGACGTCGTTTATAGTGGATCGATAAATCGAGAAGGAGCTCGATAAATAGAGAAGATGAGAGTAAGAGAGTGAGCAAGGCAAACATAGTGAGGGAGAAATAGACAAATAGACAAGTAGAGAGAGAGAAAAGTGACGAGTGAGAGAGAGACAGGGAGTGAGAGATAGACAGAAAAAGACATAGAGAGAGAAAGAGAGAGAGAGAAGAGTGATAAGTGAGAGAGAGACAAAGAGAGAAAGAGATATAGAGAGAGATATAGGGAGACAGAGAGAGAAACAGATAGAGAGAGACATATAGAAAAATAAGAGAAACAATAGATGAGCGAGAGATAAATAGAGTGAGAGAGAAAGAGAGCGAAAAAAGATGATCGAGAGAAAGACATAGAAAAAGAGAGAGACGAAGAGAGAAGAAAGATGAGTGAGAGAGACGGATAGAGAGATAGAGAGAAGATAAATGAGAAAGAGAGAAGAGAGATAGAGAGATGAGAGAGATAAAGAGAAGAGAGATGAGCGAGAGACAAAGAGAGAGAGAGAAAGAGAAAGAGACAAAGACAAAGACTGACAGACAGAGAAAAGTGATGAGTGAAAGAGAGAAGAGAGGTAATATTTTGTGGTAGAGAAGAGGAACTGACAGTAGTGGTGAAGGTGGTGGATAAAAGATGATGGTGGTGGTGGTGGTGGTGGTGGTGATGACAAAGGAGATTAGTGGTAAAGTTGTGGTAGTAGTAGAGTAAATGGAGTAGCATGGGTGAAAGAGAGGTAAAGGTAGTAGTAGTAGTGGTAGTGGTGGTAGTGAAGTGGTGGCGATGGTAGTAGTAATGGTAGCCGTAGAGGTGAAATAGCGACCGTGGTAGTAGTGGTGGTAGTGAAATGGCGTTTGCAGTAGTGGTGAAGGTGGTAGAGGAGATGAGTGGTGAGAGAGAAAGATGAGTGAGAGGCACACACACGCACATAGAGAGACAGAGAGAAAAGAGATGAGAGAAGAGACAGATGAATGAAAGACACAGAGAGAGAGACAAATAGACAGACAGAGAGATGAGAGTGATGAATGAGAGAGAGAAAGAAAATAGAGAGAAAAAGATGAAAAAATTGGTGAAAAGATATAGACAAATAGAGAGACAGAAAGAGAAAAAAAAAGAGCGAAAAGAGATAAACGAGAGAGAGACAAAAAGAGATGAGCGAGAGAGAGAAAAAAATAGAGAGAGAAGAGAGACAGAGAGAGAAGATAGATGAAAGAGATAGAGAGAAGAGAGATGGACGAGAGATACAGAGAAAAAGAGAGAGAGACAGACAGACAGACAGACAGAGAAGAGTGATGAGTAAGAGAGAGAAAGAGAAGAGAGACAAAGACACAGAGAGAAAGAGTTCAAACTCATCACAAAAGTAATGTTTTTACCCTCAATTTAACTTTTTATTTACTTTTTATTCGTCGAATTATTCCAAAAATTCTTTAATTACTTGTTCTACATCAATAATTAATCTTCTACTAAAACTATTTGATAGGGATATTTTGCTAGTTTTTTATATTTAGGGATATTTTGCTAGCTTTCTTTAATGTTTAATTGAGTATTCAACTCATAGGTTAAGAAGAATACATCAAAGGTTTGTTTGTTCATTCTATACAAAAGAGAAAGTTGTTCTTCGGTGGATTCTGAAGAATTTGAGCCTGAAGCTTTGGTGGATTCTGGAGTGGCTCATCGTCAAGACAATTCCGAGGTGAAAACGGGGCTGGAAGAGGCACATAGGGGTTGGTTCAATTTGGGCGTGGATTCGATAGGTAATTGAGAGTATACCTGTGTAATTCCTTTATATATTCTTAGTGGATTGTTTTGTGGCTGTTGCCCGTGGTTTTTTATCACAATTGGAGGTGCTCCAATTGTGATTTTTTCACGTTAAAATTGTTGTGTCGATTTGTCTTGATTGTTTGATTGAGATTATTATATACTGCTTAAAATTGATACATAATCACAAATCAACATCTAGGAGATTCCGAAATTTTTCAATTTGGTCCACGAATATTGTTTGTAATGATCTAGTCTAGCTTTTATTTCACAAATTATTAGTGTATTATTGTATTCAACTGAATAATCAGTAGGCACTTCTTGTGCATCTCATAAGTTATTAGTTTGATTTTCTTCAATCAAAATTATATAAGTATGAAGATAAAAATCAATATTATTTAAATGGAAAAATAATTTTAAAATAATATTTTTCGTAATTTTAAAGGGGTAATTGAAAAAATATGTACTTCCCCTCAGGTCTCTATCTCCAGAGAATTATTTGGTGATTTAAACTTCCCCTCTGTCTCTCTCCATCATTTTTTTCAGAGTTAATTTCTCTCACCTCTCGTTCTCTCTCTAATATGATGATAATAAAATTAACTAGATAAAATTAACTAGAACCCTTATTACACTTTTGGTAAACTTTACTAAGGCCCGCTTGTTTGGGGTTATAGGGATGTGATTGGAATTACTAATCTATTAGTATTATTAATGGAGTGTTTGTTTTGAGAGATGGGGAGGGGACTATTAATCCCTTGGTATTAGTAGTCCTCTTGGAAGGGGAATTGGTAAGGAGGAGATAAAGATGATATTAAAAAAATAGTGAGGGGATTAGAAATTTTTTTATTTTTTTTATTTTTTGTATATTGGGAATTCTTTTTTAAATATTAATGTTTAATTTTTTATATTTTTTTATTTGTTTTATTATTTTATATAAAAATAATTTAACAATTCTTCACTATCAATCCCTTCTATTCTATCTCTGAAAACAAACAGGACCTAAAAGTTAACAGGTTCTTTGGCCTAACAGTTGTGTAGCATGACTATGTTACGAGGTTGCGGATTTAAGGCGATGAAAAACAATTGATAAATTCTATGGGATTGCGGATTCAAATCTTGAGATTGCGGACTAAAGTCTTAAATGGTGATAAATTGATGAGAATTGGTAACTATTTTTTTTTTTATTGTTCGACTTTTATGGAGGAAAAAACCTTTGCCAAATTTTCACAAGTAAATAAAAAAAAATATAGGAAAAATTATTTATAAATCCTATTAGAGAGACTTATGCTACATATGATCCCACTAAAAAATTTATGTTCTCATAAGTCCTGTGAAAAGTTTGTTGACACATTTACTCTAAATATTAGTTGTTAATATCATAAATAATAGAAAGTCATATATAAGAAATTGAATATTACCATAGATCATATCTATATGAATGTAAATTTCAATTTCAAAATACACATATTCCCTCAATATTAGTTGTTAATATAATAAATAATGGCAAACCATATATATGAAATTGAATGTTACCATAAATCATATCTATATGAATATGAATTTGAATTTCAAAATACACGAACAAGCAATATTTTCACATTCAATTTAAAAATCAAAAATCTAGTAAGTTTGCGAAATGTAACGTGACACATACATAAACATTGAATACAACAATGTCATAACACAAATTCAAAGAAAAAATACAACCGAACGTAATACGCACAAAACATGACAACATTATAGATGTGGGTTAATATTACAACCTAAATGTAACGTCATGGGAGACTAATGAAAATGTGTCAATATATGGATGTACCATTTTTCATAAATCAGCAACATTTTCACATTGAATTAAAAAAATTAAAAACCTATTAAGTTTGTGAAACGTAACGTGACACGTACATAAACACTTAATACAACAACGTCACCACACAAATTCAAAGACAAATACAACTGAACGTAACACGCACAAAACATGACAAAATTGCAGATGTGGGTTAACATTACAACCTAAATGCAATGTCATTGGAGGCTAATGAAACTGTGTCAATATATGGATGTACTATTTTTCATAAACCAGCAATATTTTCAAATTCAATTAAAAAAAATTAAAAACCCATTAAGTTTTCGAAACGTAACGTGACACCTACATAAACGTAACTGTA